GATTGACACCATAGAAAAAGCCCAGGAATTCTATGAACATTACATAGAGGGAGAATAGGATAGCAGAGAGGAGTTGGAAACCAAAAGCCAAGAGAAGCAGCAGACAGGAAAAAAGGATTAGACCAAGAAGTGAGAGAGAAGACTGATACAGAATTTCAAGAAAGAGAAGGCGTGAGGACAGGAAACCAAAGGGAAACAAAACCAAGTAGAGGAACAAAGGCGACAAACAAGTAACAGGATGGAGGAAGAAGTTAAATTAATATCAGTCAATATAAATGGACTAAATTCACCTATTCGAAGAAGACAAACAATTTCTAAACTCCAAAAACAAAACATGGATATCACATGCCTACAGGAAGTTCATATTAAAAAAGGAAATGGTAGTATCCTGGAATCTTCGAAGTTAGTGAAATTACATCTGGCCTTGGCCGAAACAAAGAAAAGAGGAATTGCGGTATATATAAAGGATTGGCTAAAACCTAAACAGATATACGCAGATGAAGAGGGAAGAACATTATTAATTGAAGTATCAATAAAACAAAAAAGAATAGTAATTGCAGTCATATATGCACCGAACACAAACCAGAAAGAATATTACAATAAATTACATAAGCGGATTGCAGAACTGGAACTGGACAACATATCCTCATAGCCAGGGTTTATTGAGGACAACATGATTTATTTCCACTTTACAAAATTCCACTCAAGATACATTTGTCATTCAAATAATAAACCAAAGGATTATCCTTTCAGTAACTTTGCTTAATCTAACAATCTAATATTTGGCATGATGGCTGAAATGATATGCTACATTGCTCATATTTTGTAGATTTAAAGCTTTCTACACAAGACTTTTGAACATTGATGGGTCACTGAAAACTTGTTTCATATTGCTATCATGATTATTAGGATGGGATAACAGGCAGCAAAAGGAGGTCCCTTTTAGTTACACCAGAAAACCTTTGAATTTGTAACAAAATTCATCCATGTATAGGATAGAAAGTAAGTTATATTTTTTTTCTTTTTCTCAAAAGTGTCAAATCTGTCTGAATGTAGCTGAACAGTACTATAGATAAGAATTTTATGTTTAAACAAATTGGTGGTAGATACAATATTTCATGTTGCCCGCTTGTCCAGATGATCTAGGATAACTGTTGTATTCTTTTGGGCTTCCTCCAAGAAGTAAGAAATATTCTTGTGCATCTGCAAGAGAGAGGGGGGAGTGAGGGAGGGAGAGGGAGGGAGGCAAAGAATTACTTACTTTGGTCCTGAATTAATCATGAAGAAGTGGTATTTTGCATAGTGAGGCTCAAATTATCCTATTTGGACACATTATGTGAGGATGCTGCAACTCAGTTGCCAGATACAGTAAGGAAAGGATTTTTTCCTGGATTGATTTCTAACTGTGTAATACTGTATAATAAGATTTTGCAAAAACTATAGCATAAATATATTAATACATAAGTATAGTAAAATAAACAAAGGAGATCAGATTCTCAGAATGGAATGTAGGTCAGCTACATAGTGATTACTGTGCATAAAATGTGACATAACACAGCATGTAGATCTCAAGAGTAGCCAATTAGCGTGAAGCAATAAAGCAAAATAAAAGGCAGAAAAAAATGGGGGAGGATGAGGAAGGAGATATGAGACAATAACAAGGTGAGGTGGGAGCTTTTCCTTATAAAACTATTTTGACTCAAAAGACCAGCTAAAATTGGCAAATCCCTGACAAGTAGCTCTAGTCTAAGGCACTACTTCCCAATTTTGGCAACTTTAAGATATGTGGACTTCAACTCCCAGAGTGCCTCAGCTAGGAATGCTGGTTGAAGAATTGTGGAAGTTGAAGTCCATACATCTTAAAGCTGCCAAAGTAGAGAAACAGTGCTTTAAGGGAAGTGAGGTCTTGATCATGAGGGGGGACATTTAGTGAATTTCTTGAGTCATTGTGGTCATCATTCATTCCCTACCATACTTGAAGTAAGTAAGGCACAGTTAAAGATAAGTTCTAAGGCATGAACTCAAACTAAGATTGAAAGAGGGGACAATGTCTGTTAGACTTTCCTTAACTGTGAAACTGTGGCTGAAACCCTTGACTTAAAGAATGCCATCATCTAAGTCAGGGCTGTCAAACTCACAGTCCATGGGCCAGATGCGTCACACGCTGGCCACACCCACACCTGGTTTAGTGAAGGGGGGAAATGTCACAATATGTCACATGATGCCGCCATGACGAGGTGAGTTTGACACCCCTGATCTAAGCCTTCTGGGACACACTTTCTGTCAAGTATCTCTTATCTTAGAGAAAAATGTAAAAAAAAATAGAGTTTAGCAAGGGAGTCACTATCCCTCCAGTCCAACGTACACCAAACAGAATCATTCAAATAATCCCAACCAATCTTTACATAGCTGAAGAGCTGTTTCAGCCTTTTTTAAGGATACAAACTAATGCTAAATTGTCCATCATTCTAAGCAAATGTGTACAATTCCTACCTGTTGTGTGAAATCTTCATCTGATATATCTTTCAAGTTGGTGATGACATTGAAATAGGCCCCAAACACACCTGCTTCTAAAGCTTTAGCTGCCACCTAAAATCAGTAACAGGAGAAGAAATGCTGGTGACCAGGGGGAATGGAACCTACCAACTTCATGCAGTCAACTATGGCTTCAACCAATTTGTGGCAAGAGTTCAGCTCAATGAAACAATTAGTTGCACAACTGAAGATCAGTTCTGTTCTCAGACCGGGCAGCACAAATACCTGGATATCTGATTTGCAGGCTATGTTTCCATGCTGTGCCATTTCTTTCAAAAAAGGCCATAAAGAGTTAACTTTTTCTGCCAAGGAGAAAGGAACATCAACAGCATTCTTCAGGCCTAGCTGCATGGCTGCTGTACGCCTGCAGACAGGGAATAAGAAAACAATGAAATATATCTAGGAGGACAATCCCATCCCAAGGAAACCCAAAAGAAGCAGCCATAAGAGCATCTATCTTGCAATAAAAACTGATTAAGAATTACCAGACTACTTTTACCATGTTATTTTACTCTTTTTAAAATGTAAATGTACTCAATACAAAGAGGGAGGGGAGATTGCCCATCATCTAAGGAAAGTGTAATGTAATAATAGACCCAGGTTCACTCTACCTGCCAAAGATGTTCAGTCAGCTGAAGTCTCTTCCCCCGCCCCCAGTTTAACAGGGCATATTTTTTGCTTGGCTACCACCAGGGCAGGCCACCCACCACTTTCTTGGTGCAGAAATGGATGATTTCATCCTCTTTCTCCGCCCGGCCCATTGAAATACATCCACAGCCATTTCTCCAGCTTCACTTCAAAAAGGCTGTTTTCCAATCAAAGCTCTAAAGTCCTTCAGAGCGGATGGTCTCCAGCACTCTATTCCATTCTAATAACAGCCTAAGTTTTGATTGGCTATAGAACCTCACCTGTCCCCCTTGGCTCCAGCTCCTTGTCATTGTCCTATCCAACTGTCTCCTCCTGGGCTGAAGGTCTGCTATATTTTCTACTTGGTTTCTTTTCTTTTATAATTGTGCAATTAATGCAACGGTAGTCTGAGCCATCCTTGTGTCAAGAAACTCATAATCCATTCAGCCATTACATCTTTCAGTGACTATTTCTCCCCTGTGTAAAGCACTTGCTCAGCTCCATAAGGTTTTCCTTCTTTTCTCTTCATTGTTTAAAAACATCTTTATCTTGCAAAGTAGGAATATTACTATTTTCTTTGCAACATATGAAGCTAAGCTATCAGTTCTTCTTTGCTAAGAAAATTTGCATAATCCTGCATGGGACATGAGAGCCAGTTTGGTGTAATGGTTGAGGCCCCAGACTAGAACACAGGAGATCACAACATTAGTCCAAAGTACTGTATAGCAAGTACTGTAGTTTCAAGTGAACAAAAGGCCCAGTAATACCTCTCTTTCTCCTCATGGGTCTGCTTAGGAAGTTTCATAGCATCCTGTAGAGAACACAAACACATTCTTAGACTATTATTCTAGGGAACAGGCATGGAGGGTGAGGCTCTAAGATAGATTCCCAAAGTTATTTTCACCTTACCTTTCATATGCATTCCACCTTTTGCTCAAAAATACAGTCTTCATCAAGCAGAAAGCAAAAAAAAAAAACACCAACCCAACTCTATCCCACATTCTTCCTAACCAAAGATACAAGATGCACAAAATACAGAGTAGCTGAAAGTATGAACATTTCACTCACCATGTAGCTGCTGAATGCCAAGGAGTCCCTGTCTACTATAGCAATTAGCTGATTCATGGCCTGATGAAACGGGGGTACGAGTTGCCTCATAATTGGGTCCAGGTCCTCAAATTGACGCTTTCCATATGTCATTAATCCCACCATGCAACCAAGTGCTGCTCCCTAGAAGGAGAGACCTGATGTTCTGAAATGTCTTTATCACACAGGAGGGGGGGGGGAAGTAAGATGTCTACACTTTCCGAATTTCACCAATCACCAGGTGGCAGGGACTTTATGTTACACCAAAATACTGGGGAGAAAAACTGCTTGCAGGGGAGAGGGAGAAGGAAAGGAGAGGAAGAGAGAGAGAGAGGGAGGGAGGGAGGGAGGGAGAGAGAGATCTCCTTATCTAACACTAGTTCACTCTGGGCACCTTCCCCAAACCCTGAACCC